GAAGAAGAGGGAGTTGGCAAATATTTTATGGGGAAAGAAATCAAAGAATGATTCAAAGAATGATTTGGTAGGCAGCTTTCTTTTTCTTTCTTTTTTGTCCTTGGACCATCAAACCCTGAGGGCACGCTTGCTAGCTAGGACTAGGAAGAAAAAGAGCGAATGTTGTGGGTGGTCACTGGGGCGGTTGCTAAATCAGAAGGCGGTAGGCCACGCGCCACCGTCTCTTCTGGACTTTTGGGCTCTTTTTCCTTCAATTATGAATCCAGTGAATTAATCTTCCAGTGAGTGCGTTTTGGTTCATAAAATAATTAATTCTTCTTCGAGTACAAATATTTTCTGATCACAAATGCCACCCATCATCCCTCATTCCCTCCTCATCTTTTTGGAAAGCCTAGAACTCTACAATAACTAATATTCTCACTATTTTAAAATAATAGTCCGTAATATTTTTACACGTATTTTTACATAATAATTTTTATTGATATAATTAGAATGATAGTTAAACTTTTTTTCTATATATATATAGCTTTTATTAAATAGCTTCATATAATAATTAAGGACAAATTTTTAATTACCTTTTATATATTATAAAAATATTGCCTAAAGATACATTAAAAAAATTAAACAACTTATATTTTAAAATGAAGGGATTGGAGTAGTAGTAATTTTTTTATAATATATTTGATGATAAATTATATAATAAAAGATAATCTCTCACTCTCAATTGTCCTTTTACTTCTCATATGAATTTTAATTTGAGAACTTTAAAAATATAATCTTTTAACCACTGAGATTGAAGGTCATGCAAAGCATGCATTAAAAAAACCTATAATTTTAAAATGGAATAAATTACTTTCTTTTGTAATTATGCATTGGTTGATTGATCTTGCATGCTCAGCTTATATCATGACTTGAGCAATTCATAAACCTGACGCCATATCTCGGATTTAATTTATCGAATTTTATTTTTCTCCTTCCCCTTGTTCTCCACAGTTTCAATTACTTGGAGTCCAAATAGTTCTTGTAAATGTATGATTCTACTAGAGTTACATATGAATGTAATAAATTTCATATAAAAGAATGTAACGAAAATAAATAAAATACAATGATTGTGTCTGAAGACATGAATTTAATAAATTATTTTTTTAAATTTAAAATAACATCTAAAACATATGTTTTGAGTCTAGTTTGAGACAGAGATTAGTCCTAACTTGCAATTTTTATTTTTTTAACCTGAGAATTAAAGTATATAGACTATAGTGGTG